TTGAAGAGTTCATCCAGGCATAGTAAAGAGTTCTGAGGGTTTCAGAAATGCTTTCAAACAGAATATCTCATTTTTCATTAAAAACAACGATGCTTTAATCCGTTGAATCAAATGTGACGATAAACAAACGGGGCTTGGCAACAAAACACTGAATATGGTAGTCGAGAGGAGGTACTATTTTCAAAGCTGGTCTGCCATTTCTATCAATCTAGAATTCACATGTTTTACCTAATAAAACTGTAACTCTATTTTTGTAGGTGTCACGTTGAATACAGAGGACGGGCTCCACTTTAAGGCTTTCAAGTAAGGGCTCCCCGTTGCTTCCAGTTTAAAAAATTCAAATCACAGTCGTGCAGTTCTGCGCCATTATCCAGCATCCATTTGCAGCTCACTCCCTAATTCCACGGTTGAGTGACAGTACACGCATTGGTCAAACAATACAATAAACGTTTTGTAAGCGTGGGGGGGAGATCCCAGTTAAAACCCAGTTTAAACACTTCCTTCACTAAATTGAGAAATGTAACAACAGAGAAAATAAACAATACCTTTTTTTTTTTTTTCACAGTAATACTACTTTTCAATTCAGAAGTTTTTCTATTGCATTCCCGGATGTAGCGTTCCTGTTAAGGCTGTAGTGTAGAGCTGAAAACAAACACCAAACAGTCGTACAATCAGAGGGAGAAACTCATGCAACCAAAAGCCAACGGCCGCGGCGTCAAAACAAGGCCACAGTGGACCTTGGCTTTTGGTGTTGCCATCTTGAAAAAGACAGTAAGCATGGGAGGTAGGATGTTCGAGTAATGAAATTGTGCTTTTTACACAACTAGTGAGCAGGAACACTTATAAAACAGCAGAGTGAATACGTTTCCTTGTAGTCCCTTGCATTTCCAGTATAGATGCATGCACAATACGCCTGTAAACATAAAATGTTGGTGTGTGTGGTGTGTGGTGTGTGTAACACCTCACAGCCCTCCATACCGTCGACCACCGCAGCGCCCATACTGTATAAAACACTTTTGCACCTATGCATACTTTCTCATAGCCCGAGCCAGCCTGATGGGGAAGGGGCACGGTGTTACGACTATGAAACGCTTGAGATGATGACGTAGCCAGAGACGAGCTCGGGGATAGCAGCTTGCCAGAGGAGCAGAAGGTAAAGGCAAGATTCATGTCATTTGGCCTGTGACTCTCCAGGACTGGAGGCTTTCACTTTAAGGGGAGGGGGGGATTTCCCTGCAGTGTTAACTGATAATTAAAAAAGGGGCAGAGGCAATGCTGCCAGGGGCAAACCACCGCCCAAAAACCAGCTGCAATCCACCCAAAACTTTCTGTCCAGTCCAGTGGTTTGGAAATGAAATAAAGACGATGGTACGAGGAATTTTTTGGGGAGGGGGGAGGGGAAAACCTGTGCGCAGGTCAACAGATGGGGGTAGGGAAGGGGGGTGAGAATGAAGAGAGGGCAAAGCAGAGGATGAGTGTCGCGTTGCATGATTAAAAAAAAAAAAGTCACTGCAACTCTTAATTGATAGTGAAAAAACAAGTTAACTTATTGTCAAGCGATTCTTGTTCATCACCATTCTCAATATCACAAACGCAAAAAATGTTTTTATCTAAGCGCATTCGTAGCACTCAAAAAAAAAAAAAAAAAAAAGTTAAACCTCTGCAGCCGCTAGTGGTCGAGCTGCATTGTGGGTAAGTGCAGGCAGCAGGTTTCAACGAGGAAGAATAATGTGGGGAATAAAAATAGGGAATCTGCTGCATTGATCTGATTCTTTTGTTTTTTTAAGTCTTTTAAAGGACTCATCGTTCACACTAAAAGTTAAAAATCTTTTTTGCGCAAAGGAACATTTTGTCATCCAGATGTTTGGAAATATCTGTGTGGTTTTAGAAATACCTTCAGGACAGCTGTGAACAGGGTTTCAGAGATAGCTCGGTATTCAGTTTGTGACTAGAATGTAACGGTAGCACATGATAACAAACTCGGGCTGGTTTGTGCCATGATTATGTGCATTGAAACCTGACTCTTCAGACTACCGACAGACCTGATCAAGCACTTTGTATTCACAGGTGACAGGTTGTCTGAATAACTTTTTTTTCCTTCCTCTTTCTTTCTTTGCATTTTTAGCCCAAGCTTCTTTAATAGCATTTTTAGCGAGGTGTAGTATCAGCTTGAAGTACAGCAGCCACCTCAACAGTTAATCCACTACAGTGTGAAACTGCATATATCCATCCATCCATCCATGTGTATTCAGTCTCTTCCTTTATTCGGGATGGTTGTCTACGGCAGACTCTTTTGCCCTTCTCCATAAACGTTAACAGCATGTTTCTTTAAAAGTGCCTTAGACACTAAATAAGAACATAAGTGGGCAAAGATTTCATTACAGATGTGAAAAGGAAACCCCAGAGAGACGAAACAGGTACACCAAGGAGATACTCAACACTTAATCGTTTTTTCTTTTGTATTTTTGCTGTGCTTCATATCATATCCGCTGTGTACCTCTGTGTTCATAATAACCTGTTTGGATCAGTATTCCTGTACGATTAACCACGCGAGAATCGGCAGCTGCGTTTCCCAAAATGATGTTCGTACCGGGATTTCTTTTCCTCCTGTGACCGCTCACAGGTGAAGGTTTTAGTACTGAAGTTATTTTGGGAAATTTGTGCAGCACGGGATTTCATTTGGTTGGAAGCTTTATCATCCACAAGTAACTCATTTTTATTTTATTATTATTATCCAACTGGCTGTTGACAACCAGGCATTCAACTGCAAATACTTCCATCGTATTATTTCTTGTATACCTGTATTTCTAGACAGTAATGTTTTTGTTTTGTTTGTTTTTGTAAAAGGAAAATAAAGCATATTCATGGTAGCTGCGATGCTGTTCTGCTTCTTTTTATTAATTTTTATTTAGTCACTTATGATCTGATATTAGAAATTGTTCATAAATGTATCAAATAATGCAACATTTAGGTAAATTTCAGCTGTTGACTGTGCAATCTGAACAACTTTGTGATGGACATTTTATAGATGAAACGATTGATTAATCAAACTGAAAAACACACGGATGAGCCAATCCTCCATTATAATAAACACAGTCGGTCTTAGCTGCAGTAAATACTCACTAGAGCACCAAACACGTATTAATCCACTGCTGAAAATAGTCTCCAACAAATGCCCTTTTAACTCCAGACTGAGTAACGTTAGTTAAAAACTACAATTCCCAGCCTTTTGTGGGTGAGAGTGCGGCCTTACCTGGTCAGTGACGATACCCAGCGAGAAACTGCATCTCCACATTTATGTGTTAGAGTCTTCTGTTTAGAGTAGCATGGTATCAAACTGACCGTGGGGGGAACACAGCCTCCTTCAACACTTTCCTCTCACATCCTCGGACCCACAGGTGTCGAATCGGTCCAGCCAATGAATGAAAATCAGGAATCCAATGCATGCTGGTGTCAGTGGAGGTTGCACATGTTGCTCAATTACAACACCAATGTCCAGGAGGAAGAAAGAGGTCTATAGGAGTCATCGTGAAAACCACCTGTTTTGTTTAATTTTCATAATTGACACACAAAAATAATCTACAAAAGACCAAATTAAGTAACCAGCTAACCACGAAATGTCATTTTTATCCTCCCCCACCCCCAAAGAAAGCACAATTTATAAGATGTCACCCACTGCTCCAGTCACATGACTTCACAATGACATCCAGAACAACCACACGTTGACACTCTGGGTTTACATTTTAAGGGAAAATGTCAGCATAAATCACACACACTCACACACAGACATACACAGACCAGCAACACCCCATCTAATATAAATGAGCTACAGAACAATCTTTGGCGCCAATCTCGGTGCAGCTGGTCGGTCAGACACACATGGAGGAGGTCGGGGAACAGGTTGGGGGAGGACAGCCAGAGAGTCAGGAAGAACGGTTTTGTTAACGGAGGTATTCAGCAGAGGGAAGGTTTCTCTAAAGGTGTGTTCAGACAGACAGCAAAGGGAATTTTTGCCCCGAACAGTCAATGTACCGACTATACAGACGTTAGCTGTAAGCTAGTTAGCAATGGACGCACCAAGACACGGTTGTTGAACCCAAACACACCGACCCGTCTGTGTGTTCGTGTTCAGCTCAGCCTCTGAACTCACCAGAAACTTATTTTACTTCTAGTCTCCTTATTCTTCTCCCCTCTGTACGTTTATGACGTAGATTCATAAAACTGGGAAAAACTAAAAAAAAAAACACCCGTTACTCCGACTTGAACTTGGGAGTGTTTACGCATTATTCCAAGATGGTGATCCCCACTAACCTTGGAGCTAGCGTTGTGTCGTTCGCCAACCGTTCGTTCAAAGGAACGAACTGAATAACTTCCTGAAACAAACTGATTCTAATGATTCAGTAACCTGACAAGAGCTACCTGGAGATAAACAGCCTCAATGAGCTTGTTTTTGTTGTGTCATGTGTTTGTAGCGGTTCATTACCAAGTGAAACTAATTACAAACAGTGTGTAACTCCTTTTAAACGAGCTGAATCGACTGTATTAGTGTTAATATTGGATGCGATTTGAGGTATGAAATTCCTGATATCTCTGACGTAAATGTTTTCTTCACTCTGCTGCTGTAGTTACAGTTTCATTTGGCCTGAATGCAGCGTAAGCACAACTCTTTCCTTCAAGTTGAAACATTTTCAACTCGCCGCCATTCGAACTCGGTCTGGTGATCGCGTCTCTCCATTCTTCTAAAAATTTGTTTTACATTCTGTCTGAACACAGCGGGAAAAGAAGGAGTCTCAAGTGACATAATAACATCTACAAACATTCACAACTCCAGAAATGTACTGACAAGTTGAGTAGAGGTTGAAAGCCAAGCGACGACTTGCACTTTTGCATTGAGCGTTTTACAGTCCTGCATAGATCTTTTTCATACTTTTCGATATAAACTAAGGCGTTGTGTTATATTAAGTTGGTTCGAGTCAATAAGCAGAGAAAGTAAATAAAAATCTTAACTCACAAAAAAAGAAAGAAAACAGAATTCAAGTAGGCTACAATCTTGACGTTTCTCCCCTCTCTCACAGGCGGCTCCTCGCTCCAGAAGAGGAGCCCAAAACTTTTTCAATTCAAGTCTTTTTTCCAGAAAAGGTCCAGTGTGATTAAACAGCACCAAAAACACACTGAGCAAGAGAGGGGCATCAAACTTACACTCGGTCATTATTGTGAAAAGGGGATACGCGTCCTTATCCATTCACACAGAATAATCTGGAAAGAAATTAACAGTATATTGTGTTTTTTATGTACATACACACATTCAAATCAACCTCACATCTCTCTCTCTCTCTCTCTCACACACACACACAATAACATGTTTTTGTCCCTGTGTAAATTACAAATAATTTATCAATATTAATTTAAGCTACTACTTAACAGTCATTTGTGGGAGCAGAGGTGACCAACAATAAAATTTCTACGGACACGACGATTCCCACATTTGAGACAAAAGACAGAAAAATAAAAATTCATTACTCAGTCTGTTTTTCTTTTTTTTCTTTTTGTACTGCAAGAACAAGAGTCCTGTTATTCCACATAAGCTTAAATACAAATTATATTACGTAGCGTACTACTACTCTCGTCTGTACCACCACCTCGCTCACACTCATTCCACAGTGATCAAGGTCGGTCATATGTAAACATGTTGACAAAAATAAAAATAAGCGGAACAAAAAATAAGTTTTCTCGTCATTCACTCCGTCTTGTTCTCATACCCGGTTCATTAGAAAATACAGTTAAATTAATTCATCATTGCCACTTGTAGCGAGGATAAACTGATTCTCCTATAGGTCCATTTTGAAAAGAGGCAGTGGAGCCCCGCCCCCTCATACCACATCACTGTGTCAGTCAATCAAAGTGAAGATTCCTATTGGTGGATGTGTCCAGGAGGTTGTGACGTCACCTCGCAGGTATTGGTCAGTGGGATTTCCTCTTCATGTCTCCACCCTGGCTTTGGTTCGCATCTGAGTGGAGACGAGAGACATTTTAACAACTGTTCACATCTGGGTGAGAGTAAAGTCATCCGACAGCCTGCTGCACCAGGGAGAGGAAGATGGCCGCTTGCTCTAAAAACTCAAATCGTAGATCAGAAGATGCATCGGTGCTTATGGGCAGCTTTTCAAGTGCAAAGTCTTGTTAAATAGCTGTTAGCATGTCAAATATACACTATTTGATACAATGAAATGACCTACTATTTAAACTAAAAGCAGCAGAATTGACAGCAGAAACACAAAGTCACTGAACTGGCAGCAAACATTACTACAACTCAAGCTAGCTCACGTGTCTGTGAGACGATCTAATAGCTGCTCCAGCAAATAACGGCTGGATCAATATTTGGTCACAGGTTTTAGACCCGACTTGGATCTTTTTATATACATAGAAGATGAAAATATTTAGGTCTGTTGTTATTTGAGATTATTTCATCCGTACAGATGTGTAACTGAACAAAGACACGGCTAATGTGTCAAACTAATTTATATTACAGTATATAGAGTATAAGTCTTCAGTGTAGAGTTTCATACAGTGAGCTGGTGCAACAGGCTGCAGGTAACACTGTCAAACAGGATATGAGCTCTGTTTGAGTATCCTCTGGTTCAGATGTTCAGATGGTTCTTTGTGGTATGAACAATCTAGGTGAAACAGGCCTGTGAGCTTTAGCTCTCTGATTACAGCTATAAAAACAAGATCAGATAAATCTACATACATTTTATGGCATCAGCAAGAAAATGTTTTTCATTTCATAATTCAGAGAGCCAAATCTCACACGCTGCAGTTTCACATGTTAATTCGACTTCTGCTCTCATATCAAAGAACCATCTGTACGAGTGAATCCTCACTCTGTATTCTGCAAACTCCTGAAAGGAATAATATATATCTGACTAACTTCAGTAGCTTTACAGCGTGCATCTACTGTGCTACAACTACAGAGGACAAACCAGAAGCATGCCAAACACCAAATTTACTGAAGCAAGCAGAAAATTACTGAGCAAACAACACAGCCGCTGAGCAGAGGACGACAGGTCGACTTGACACAGACAGATGGAGAGAGAGAGAGGGAGGGAGAGAGAGAGAGGGAGGGCGGACGAAGTGGAGGAGGAATGCAGATTACCTGAGAAAGCAAGCTGCAAGTGAGGAGGTAGGGCAGCCTGCGACCCTGACTGGAGACTCTTATACAGATCTGAGGAGAGATGGAGGGAGGATGAGAGGGAAGAAGGCAACAACAACAACAATAAAGAGGAATATGGAAAAGATGACACAGAGGGGGATGGGGGAGTTAAAATGGGATATCAGCAACAAAAGAGAGGAGGGGATCAAAGTGAAGTGGCAGCAAGGCACATAAGTACAAAAGGTTGAGATGACAGAGACGGACACAAAAGATAGATAGAGAGAGAGAGAGAGAACAAAGGAGGGAGACTGTGGTTTATAAAAAAAAAATGGAGACAGGATGAGAGGGTCACAGCGAGAGATGTGGAGCACAGCAGACACAGTGCTGCTGGTATACTTCAGTATCACACACGAGAGGAATTCAAATATAAAGACTATGAATATGGAAATTGCTCCAATGTATCATTTATCTGTTAATTCCAGTTCATTCTCCTTCATTTTTAGATCTATCCTGCTTCGCATCAAACTTACAAATTACATTACAAAATGGAGAGAGAACATCAAATGAACTATTTAAATATGTACAAGCCCAAACAAAGTATATACGTAAACACAAAAGAAGTGATGCCCTGTTTATCAATGAATACATAATTCATGGGGTTATTATAAATACAAGCTGTGTGTGATTAGAAAGTGCTTAGAAAGAGTTTGTTTCCAATACAAACAGCCAGGCTTGTATTATATCATATATTATATATACCGATTCATTTTGAAAGAGAAATGGCAATTACCACTCGACTGGACCAATGGTGTAACCTCAGTAAGTATCGCAGTAAGTGACGGCCTGTTGCGTTAGGCCTGGCCCACTTTAAATCCACCGTTCCTGTTCCGTTCCCTTTATGTCGTTTCATGTGTTTTGTGAAAGAGCCGCACACGAGCGCTACCCCCTGAATTGTTGTGAGCTGTCAAAGCTTGTGTGGTGTGCCCACTCACCCATTAGGTCGCTCTGTGCTAGGGGATATCCTGAGTTGGAGCTGGGGGCGGAGCCCATGCCAGCGGCCCCTGGGGCTCCGGGAGGGCTGAAGTTGAGCAACGGGGGGAACTGGAAGGGCAGCGAGACGGGTACCAGGCCTCCCAACATCCCAAAGCCCAGGGGCAGAGCGGAAGGGTTGCCCAGGAGGGAAGTGCCTGCTGTGGATACCTGCAGAAACAGGATGGAATGAAAATGGAGATCAAAGTTTGTTCTTTCCCCCCAAATGTCCAAGCTCAGTATAAAATATCATTTTGTTAAACAGTGTTCTTGTTCCTAAGAAGCTAACCTGTGAGAGGTGTGGCGTTGTGGAGGACGTGGCCAAAGTTCCTGAGGCCGCCCAACCGTTTCCTGCCTTTGAGCTCTTGTTAGCCCCGCCCACCATTCTCTGCCTCTGCCCGTGATTGGCTGAGATTGAAGGCGCAGAAGATGAAGGAGTTTTGTCTGGGTGACTGCAGACAACTGATACCACTCCCTTGTTGTTGGCGGAGTTGTTGATGCTACTGTTGCTCAGGGTGGACTGAGCTTTCTGGCCTCCTGCGAAGCTGTAGCTGCCCTGGGTCTGCTTTACCTGCCCGCCGCCCGATACGCTGAAGGGGGGCCGAAAGGTTTTGGGGGTTTTGGGGGTATACTGGTGTTGTTGCTGTTGGCTGGAGATCATCTGATGGGAGAGCGGGTGCGAGGGTGAGGACGACGGGGAGGGGGAAGAGGAGGGAGGCGGGGTGGGCGCAGGAGCCCGCGGAGTGAGCTTGATGATGGGAGAGGAGGAGGAAGGAGGCGGGGTGGGCGCAGGAGGCCGCGGAGTGAGCTTGATGATGGG